GCTGGACAAGCCAGAGATGTCAGAGGAGACTGTATTCCACTTCTCCTTTCAGGACTGAGGTATGGAGGTGAAAGAGGTGACAGGTGATCCATCAGCCAGTGGGGGCTGTCTCTGCCTGGGGGGGGGGCAGGCTACAAGCCCAACTCTCCTCCCTCAGAAAGGTCACTAGGAGGAATTGCAAATGCAGATGGGAGATGGGGGTGGATTAACACAAACTTATTCCCTGTCCTCACTAGAGGCCATCAGTCATACGGTGTGATTCTGCCAGGCTGCCTGGTCGGGGGGATTTACAACACCCTTTCTTTATGAGGGTGAACAGGAATGCAAAAATATACATGACTTTCTGTTGTTTTTTGAGACAGAACCTCACGGTGTAACCCTGGCTGTCCTGGAACTCACTGTACAGACGAGGACCTGTCTCTGCTCCTGAGTGCTGGGATCAAATGTGTGTGCCACCATACTCAGCTAGAATGTACCTAACTTTTAGGAGAATTGAATAGATATTCATTCTCATAAGTTTTAGGGAAACTGGAGGGACTTGGGGAAGTTATGGTGGCTTGGAACAAAGCTGGTTAGGTCTGCAGAATAGATAACAGAGATGGGACCAAAACAGAAAACAACAGCCGTGTGTGGTCAATCAGCCTGCTTTACCTTTATCTGAACACGGTCATCTCTGGTTAATGGGGTCTGAGTCAGAAGATTCAGGGCTGCCAAGCTCCTCTCTTGGCAGATCACTCAGGGTTAGGAATTTCTGCAGAATCTTATTTCTGTTCGGAAGGGAGAGAACTTATCCTATTTTGTAGGTTGCTCTGTGTGTGTGTGTGTGTGTGTGTGTGTGTGTGTGTGTGTGTGTGTGTGTGTGTGTGTGTTATTTGGGACATGCCATGTTGTGTATGTGGAGTTCACAAGACAACTTTGTGGAATCAGTTCTTTCTTTCCATCTTTTTATAGATTTGGGTTTGAATTCAGTTCATCAGTCTAAGTACCTGCTGAGCCATCTCCCTGGCCCTTTGGTTTTTTCTTTCTTCCTTTTTAATAAGATTATTTTGGCTGCTCACAGTCCCTTATGTTTACATAAGCATTTCAAGACTCATTTGTCAATTTCTTCAAAGACGCCACTCAGTGTCCTGAAAAGAATAACAGCCAACCATAATGGCATATTCCCATGCAGAGTCAGGGGGACAGGAGAGTTCAAGGTCCTCCTCAGCTACATGGTAAGTTTTTGACTAGCCTGGGCTACATAGACCCTCTCTCAAAATAAAAATGAAAAAAGGAGACAGATTTTATTGACTCCATAGGTTGATGCTGGTGCTTTTTTTGTCACTCCCCTCTTTATTTTAAGACAGGGTCTCTCACAGAATTCCATTCCTCTCAAGATCAAATCCCCTCACTCCCTCCTGTCTTCACTTCCTCCTGTTTGAACAACATTTTTTAACCACTAACTACTGCCACTCTCTTGGGCCCATGAATCTAGTTCATATCCTAGCATGACCCTAAGTCAGAAATTTACTTCAGATGAATCTTGTAGAAAGGTAAAGATGGTTGTTAAGTCAAGGGACACTTCAGATAGGGACTTGGGGGTGGGGAGAGAGGACAGAGAAGGGGAAGCTCTGCGGGTGGGTGGCTGGTGACATGGAACCCAGCAGACACAGAGACTGGGCCCTTCAGTAGTCTTCTTACTGAGGAACATTGAGCTCTATAGGGGAGATGGATCCAGATACAGAAAATGCTGCTCAACTTGAGACCCATGGTTACAGGGCACACTGGAGCCATCATAGAGCCAGTAGGCCTCCATTCAGCTCTGCCAGTCCTCTCTTTGTTCCTAATGCTCTGGTCCTTGCACTGAGACTGTGAGTGTTAGGATGGATTGGATTGGATGGACAGGGATTCTGACACCCAGGAGCCACAGAATACTGAGTGTTACAGCTCAGATGGAGAGTTATTCTGGCATTCAGGAGCCAAGGAATACCACAGGTCACAGTAAGCATAGCAGCTTACAGCCCTACTTCAGGGAAAGGCTTCCCCAGTGTATCAGCTCTGCTCCTGCAAGAGAGGGCTTCCCCAGCAAAGTTGTTACAGTTCGGCTCTACTCTGGCTCCAGGAAAAGTTATTATTTCTCTCCTATGGCTCCATTCAGGCAAAGGAAGGTCTCATCCAAACCTCATTCAAGAGACTTATCGGGAGGGAAGAATCCAGGAGAATGGCTGCCCTCTGCCAGGGTGGCAGAGGACCCCTGGCCAGCAGGAACAGCCAGAAGCTGAATAGGCACAGAGTTTATGTAGGGCTTCTTAGGGACAGTGTTTTTTTTCCAGGGAAGAGATTTCCAGAGTAGGGATTGGTCAGATTTCAATCCCTGAGCTCAGATTGGCTAGAGCTCATGCTCAGTGATTGGTTGATTTTCTGCTCAAGATCAGGGGTAGATTTGGCTCCGATTTCAGGGCCAAAGCGTGTTTCTTTCACTGGTCCTTTTTAGCCTTTTGACTCTAATTTTAGGGCCAGAGTGCATTTCTTTCACTGTCTCTGATTCCAGGGCCAAAGTGTGTTTCTTTGGCACTGGTTTCAGGGTCAGGGTGCATTTCTTTGGTTCTGGTTGCAGGGTCAAAGTGTGTTTCTTTTGGCTCTGCTCAGGGTGTGTTTCTTTGGCTGGCCCTTTTTCCTTACAAAGACCTTCCCTGGGGGGTGGCTGGCACCACAGCCCCTCCAGCACTCTATCCTGGTGGGCAAAGCCTTCTCCATTCAGGCCTTCTCTCCTCCACTCTCCTGGGCATGGCTGTCCTTAAGCAAGCCCTTCCCCCATCTCTGCCCCATTTGACTCCCTACCCTATACTGCCAAAAGCCCCCAAAAGCCACTACTCCAGGGAGCCTCTCTTTCCTCATGCCATTTCTCTGAGGTCCCAGCTTGTCATCTGTGTCAAGAGGCAGAAGACAGTGTCAGGTTCTATATGACGGTGGAGCAGATGCTATCAAAACTCAGATGACCAGGGCATAAAACCTGTGCATTTGCCAGCATTTTGTAGAAAACATATACAAATATATAAGGTGTTTTTAAAAATAAGGTTTTTCTCAACATGGAAAAATAGAAAGAAATCCTTAAAATAACCAGTTAGAATGTGTACTCTGTGTTCTTTGGTGACTTTGTCTTTGTTAGGATCCTGGTAGACAATGCTGTGCATATGTGTGGTCTGTGAGGGATTTGCTGTTAACTATTGCAGCTCAGCCTGAAATGTAATTTATATATCATGCAGTCCAGCCATGTTGTAGTGTCTGGTTTTGTATGTTAACTTGACACAAGCTGGAGTCATCAGAGGAAGGAACCTCAGTTGAGAAAACGCCTCGATGAGATCCAGATGTCAGGTAGTTTCTCATTTAGTGATCATTGAGGGAGGACCCAGCCCGTGGTGGGTGGTGCCATCCCTGGGCAGGTGGTCCTGGGTTCTATAAGAAGGTGGGCTCAGCGGGCCAAGGGAAGCAAGCCAGTTAGTCTCTGCATCAGCTCCTGTCTCCTGTCTGAGTTCCTGCCTGACTTCCTTCAATGATGAACAGGGATGCTGAAGTGTAAGCCTAATAAAGCGAGTTTAACCGTCACATTAAAAAATTCCATTATCTCTCCGCCCCCAAGAAGCTGTTTAGCAGTCACCCGTGTTTGGTTCGGCATACCAGAGTTTTCAGTCACCTTCGTTGTGTTGAAAATCTCCTTAACTATTTGGCTGGTAAGTACAGGAGCAAAAGGCACAGGCCCGCAGTGTTCTAGGATTGACTCCATTAGCAGAGGAGCAGCCAGGACCCTCCAG